CTAAAATGTGTATCAAAAATGTGTACCACCTTAAAGAAATAATGCATCCAGCAAATAGTTATGACAATCGACATAAAATATCTTTATTAGTTCTAAGTGTTTTCTCGGCATTTGAAATTGTTCTCTAGATGAAATTATCTCCCTTTTAGACAATTGTTGCTATCTTGCTTCTTGTTGACACTAACAAATTTTATTGAAATGTATTAACAACATTTAATCGAAGTTAATCCCTAAAAGACAATCATTGCAAATGACTAGTTTTGTTTCAAGTTTGCTTACACCAAATTTAAGGTAAATTGGTTTATTACCTAATTATTAGCCAGTCATATATGATAGATAAGGTTTACTTAATTTCACTGTATGTTATATTTAGATTCTCTCTGGGACAAGAGTAGTGTAGTAGTAGTAGGCCAAATGTCAATAACGGCAAGAAAATTACAAGAGAAGTTATTGTAAATCTTGCCAAAAATTTATTTAATTGTACGTTATAATATCGGTAATTCAACCAGTTTTCCTTAATTATTCCTGCACATTGCATATGTTTTCCCTGAACGAAAATACATCCAACTTTTCACTAGCCATCTACAATTCTCTGTACAAAATTTACTGTTAAGAATAACGAGAAAGCAAAACTTATCTATATGCGTAGAAATTTAATAACCATAATTATATTTATTGCATGATACAAGTTCTACGATGAAAATGATTTGACTTTAATCGGATCAAACTCCTATTCGACATCAACAAATTACAGATATAGAACGACGTGACCGATTGTGTAAGAATGTCTATCAACGAATATTGGATATCTTGAATATTTTTTCAATAATTTAAGTTCGATAAAACAATCAGTAGCTTATGTTGGATGTTATCGAAAGCAACTAGCAAAATTTATATTATTCGTAAAAAAGTGGCTTTGATGCTGAATGCTAAAATATCCATTTTAAATAATCATCCATTCATATTATGTGCAGAGAGTAGGAAATTTGACGCACTTATACATGTATCCCTGCTAGACTAAATTATATTTCCCAAATAAGATCATGTTATAATTCATAAATCGTAGAAATACGTATCGGAGTCTCGATTTGTCATCGCTATAAGGAGTTTCTATATATTTTTGTATGCAAATCAATTGCAATCCTGATAACTATCTCGAAATTCTTGTAAAGCAAGTATTCCTTCGTCTATATAATGCAGAAGAATTATTTAAAAAAATGAAAGCGCGACTATTAAAGCAACTAACTCTTCGCAAGTACGCGCAACACTTATCTGTAACAAAAGCTAAAAGAGGATAGTAGAGAATTCGGCTGAAGCGCAATAGATTCTTCTCTCTTTTGATCATGGATCCTACTCTCTGCTATTGTTTGTATTATAAAGTAACAAACATCTATATCTAAGCTTGATAAAATTCATTTTAATTTGTTCACCGTTGATGGACCATTTCACTGACACCATCATCGTCTTCTTTATATGTATGAATTAAGCAATATACTGCACTTTCCTATCGTATCTAAGTTGGGCAGCTAAGTTGGCTCGTAAACACGCCCGTTCAAATGTCCGTTCATTTTAAACTGGTTTTCGTTTGTTGTTTTTTATTGTGATTTCAATGTTATTTTCGTTTTCTAAATGCGCTCGTACATACATGATGTTTACATTTAATCACTTGTTAAGGTTATTTTTGTAATAAAAGTGTATAGCATTTCTTAAATTGAAGAAAAAATAAAAGAAAAGAAACTTACAAAGATATTTGCTCAAACTCAGTAATGGTTATTGACTTTTAAGTCATGCTAAGGCAAAGTGTTTTATGCAAATTCCTTTAAATACACCAAATATAGAATTAATTGCATTTTGCAGAATTAATCAGAATTAATTTATGTGCATACAGACGCATGAAACTTTTTATCTTTCCATTTTGGTTTATATTCCCCAAATTTTATTTTTATAGCCGCCAAATCTCGACGAATAATGCGTTAAACCTAACTTCGTCCGCTTAATCAGAAAGACGGTCGGACAATTACATTCCGTATTTGTCTTTTATTTATAAATTCATGTGACAATAACAGAAATGCTCTCATTTTGTGCTGCAATGAAGGCTTGTCACTTGACTGACTTGTTCTACCTTTGAATACAAGACTGCGAGCAAGATCCTCTAATGTTTTCAGCGAATTTCAAACCGATATCTTAATTTTTACGACCGGAAGAATCTTTACCAGGACCTCACTTATATACCCAATCAAACATGACTACCGATTAAGAAAATATGTACCTTGTAAGGGTTCTGGAGCTGCCTATTAGTTGTTTTAGAAACAGTATACCTTCAGCCACATAATGCATATAAAAATATATAAACCCCTAACATAAGGAGAAAGATACCAACAGGCTTCTTCAAAGCTTTGCAGCTATGTTAATTTCAATTTCAAATTCTAAATCGATTTTAGCTTGTCCGCCTATTCGTCTTTGTAATGTCTGTTTTAAACGTTCTCCTTGTCTCAAAAATAGACTTCAAATGTGGCAGAACCTTTGGAAGTGGGAAAATGGGTCTGCGCCTACACCGCCATTTAAACTGAGAACACCTCTGTTGAGAAAAACTGGTTTTTTGCTCATTACTCATAGGTTATAGCATATAAATGCACAAAAATTTGAACGCATATTCTAGTGGCGAAGGTATCAAAATTTAATTGTTTTTCAATACCTTTACAACGAACAGAAACAAGCTTCAAAACTCAATAAAGTATACAAATTCTTGGCCAGTTTCAAATTTGGAATGCACCTAAACATGTCCGCCTGCTCGTCTGTCCATCTAATTGTTTGCACAACTTTGTAGTATATGTAGTAAACAGTCTTCCGTTAGCGAAAATAAAGCTATCGCCTACAAGTTTGCAAAAGAATTTGGAACTGACCCAAACTATTCAAAGGACACACCTACAACGCTCTCATGCCTATACGATAAAAACTGTTATTTTGCAAATAGAAAAAATCAGCTGCGTCCACTCCATATTATACAGCATGCAAAGGCATTTCTTATCTTTTTTTTTTGTCTTTTTTAGGTTAATGTTGATGGGTATAAAAGATTCGGTCATTACCGAATATAATTTTCTTAAGTGTTTCTTTTTGCTTTCTTTCTAGTACTTGCTTAATGCACACGAATAAAGTGCGCTATAAAATGCGGAAAACAACTATCTAGTATACCAGAAGGGTTGACTTCTATTGTGTGCCACAACTTGTACAATGGACCTGGAAATAAAACGATTTTTGCTAATTAAAGCACTATGTATAAGCATCTATTGTTATCCCACACACCTATTCGCTGTAAGCGGAAGATTAATGATAAGAAAATGAAGAAAACTTTCGTTTTTTTTTTTGTATTTTTTTATAGTCATCACTGAAGGATATATATATATACTGACATATATATTAGATTTTTCTAATTTTTTCGATGTTCTTTACTCGTTTAAACATTAAGAGTGTTTTTTGCCACACATTAAGTTTTGACAAGTTTATGGCATTGAAGGCAAATGAAGTTAGATAAATTGACCCGAGTAAGCGATTGGTAAAGAGTAAGAATATTACTGTTTTCTGATTACTTGATATGATCGTTAAAAAATGTTTCCTGTAGACGACGCATTTGTTACTTAATGTTAGTAACAGACACTTCTCTGTTAAACAGGCGACAAGTGAAACCAAATCATAGCAAATTTATGTTCACATTAATATCATTCAAAAATTTCAATTTATCAAAATTAATTTCCTCCCAGAGTTTTGTTATTCACCTACTTCGTCATGAAGTACTAAAAATTAAACTTTGTTGGCTAATAGAGGCTCAGTGTTTATGGAAATCGCTCTGTATGGTCCTAAAAACTAGACCAACAGTGTTCAAACTTGATACGATTCATTTTTATGGGAAGCTATTACGGAACAATTTTGATCATGAAGTATTAATATTGCCAATCGATTGCGGCTTTATCGTTAAGTTTTTTGACTATTTCGTGCAATCGGTACAAACTTATTATACGGTGTATCACATATAGTATCGTGTATAAAATGGCTAAAACATGTTCAACGCTGAATTATTTTTCAGCAAATATGAGATAACGACGAGATATCGATAGGGGAAAAGGACCAAACGCAAAAAGCGCCAGAGATCATCTCCAAGGCGAAGTTATTTTATTCTAAGCCTACTTATAAATACTGTTATATATATCATTCTTGTTGTGTACGTTTAGTATCTTCGAAAAGTAGAAAACTTTAAACAGTTTTAAGAACTAAGTGTACTTGAAATGATAAGCTGCTTTCAAATTTTTTAAAATAAATAGGATATGTATTTATTGTATACAAATCAGGCCATTAAAATGGCATGTGATAGTTCAGCTTACTGGCCAACAACGCTTTTTATTACTCTACAACAACGTTGGCAAGCCGTTCATGAATAAACGAAAGCCGTCACGTGCCGTGTAAACGAAGTAAGCAAAAATTTTTTCTCCTTAAATTTATCATCCTCTCATATAATTTAAACGTCACATCATTCAATCGGCAGCAGGTTGGTGCCTTATAAATGAAAAACTTAATTTGTTTTCGTTCGAATGTTTAACGTGTACACGTCATTAAATTTTGTAAAAACTCGAGTGTGCAGCTTAGAAATATTGAAATAAGTGGACTTAGATACGCTTCATTCAAAATTATTATATACTTTTATGAAATATGTATAAAAGAATTTTCAATTTTACTCTCTTATTAAATACAAGTTATATATTTTCTGATGTATCTCACAATATGATTTACAAATTATATAATCCAGTTAATATACCTTACCCGCAATGTGCAAAAAAATGTAGAACACGAAATATATGAAAAAATAGTAAGCACTATGTGTGCTTGGCTTGGAGAAAAAGGAAAGTTGTGCTGATTGGTGATTTATATTTTCTTTTTTTTTAATTTTGAAGGTAATCCATATATCATTACTAAATTAAATAAATTAGTAAGGGTTAACGAAAGCTTACCCATCGTAAACGCGACACGTACTATTGTTTATTCTTTCATCTGAAAATCGACGTCTTCGATCTTCGAATAGATCTTTAACGGCAGTTACACCCAAAACAAAGAGTACCGGTATCATGGCAACCTCTTTGCCAAATGCATTAATGGCTGGAAACCAATTAAGTAAAACTATGAATATAAAGTATAAATTCGCGACACGATGAAATTGCTCTAATAAATTCTTCGGTATAAACGACAGCAGTGTATATTTGGTAGTGCGGATTTTGTTACCAACGAAGTGACCATTTGGATGTTCACGTTTTGGAGTTTTCGGTGGCACTGTGTGATTTGCCACTACAATGCGGAAACTTCGCTCTTCGGATTTCTCTGCATGGCAAACACCTATTCGTTTCCACCAAGGCGGTGTTTCGGAACGACGCAGGGTGTAGATGGATTCAGAACGTGACGCTTGACGTGAATGGCCACGACCAGCGGCCGCAGATGATAATGAAGGACCAAACTCTCGAGTCTCATTTTCTTCCTTGTGACCAGGCGGGAGAATGAATTCGGTTTTAGAGCCGACACGACTATGACCGCGCGGCGACGCCGTGTTGTTAGAGGAGTCGGCTATCTGTCCTTGGGAGAAAGCACGTTGATGTCCTTTTAGAGCGGATTTAATTGGTCTGGCGCTTGGACCCACAATAACCCCACCACCGTGACTTATGGAACGTGCGTGACCACGAACACTACCAATGGTGAGTGTGTGTATAACTGGATTCACTATCGCCACGCCCGGTATAACGGTGGCTGGATTATCTGTACCGCTTCCTCCAGGGCCAACGGGACCTGGAAAAACATAAGTTCTTTCGGGTTCTGGCAAAGCACTCATTAGAGCGCTTGTACAATTTAATGGTATACCAGCAGAATTTAGTGGGTCGTATAAAGGATTCGACGCGTTTGTAGATGTTGCGCCGGTTACGAAAACAGGCGGTGCCGATCTCTGCTGAACAATAGTAAACTTTCGCCGCAGTTCTTCGGTATTTGCGGACGGCATTGTCACTAGACACCATTAGTTCCTATGAAACGCAGCAGCTCATTATGTGTAAATCATCACGTAAGTGGAACTACAAAGAAAGAAGAAATTGAGAAGACTTGTGATTAGATTAGAAATTAGAATAATTAGATAAGAAATCATCGCAAATTGACTACAATGTGTCTAACGCTCCTTTTCTGAACTTCCCTTCTTAATCAGTGTACAAATTTGATACCAACCTAGTTTTAGTTTTTCCATAATAAATAGGAGAAAACTGGATTAAACTATGTCAAACTAGACCTGGTCGTATTAGCATATTGCATTGTGTGGCTAAGATATTAATATTATTATATTACGTGAATTTTGTTCACTCAAACATCTGGCAGACGTCACTGGCGATGTTTATGTCAAAATCTGTGCCTTCATCCCTCATTTTTTTAATATTCATAATTGATGACTTGCGCAATTATAATTTTGCAATACTAATTTATATGGCAATAAAAAAACAAGTTTCGAGATGCCGTGCTATAGGTGTACTATTTCAGTTTTGTTCAAAATTTTCAAAAAAAAAAGTAATACAAATCCAACAAGTTTAGAACGATGTGTTAACAAAGAGCATCAACCACACCATTTCGGCAGGACAACTCCGGTTCCCAATTATGATTTTTATAGGCGGTTTTATATTTATATACATATATAACACATCACTCAATTTGTCTTAGGTCTGACTTATACATGGCAACGCTCTTGGAAGATCCACATAATTTCTGAATGGTATCATCAAGCTTCAAACGATACTTGCCTAAATTTTATGACATTCTGACAATTGGTTTACATGTTAGAATGGCTTCGTTGGCGCTCTTATTGTAATTTTTCAAAGCATGGATAAAAGGAACGCCTTGATTAAAAATTATTTTTTGACCGAAAATACTTTCGAAGTGAAATCAACTTTTATTGACAGGTACTTTGCATTTAAAGGCGGTCGTACAAACACGAACTAGCATGATGAAGCTGAAAAGTTTGGTTGCCTAAAAACAGCCGTTGTAAAAAAAATGCAAAAATTGTTAGCTGACAATTAAAAACATGAGAAGGCAGTTCATTTAGCATATATGTTCAAAGTGAAATTAAAAAGGAAACCAGCGATGGAGTGTAGATATCAGAAAAAGAAAAAAATAGTATTTCACCAACACAATGCCTAGTGTCGCAAATCGATGAAAACGTTAACTAAATTCCAACCTGCTCTCCACATCTAACCGCCAAAAATGAGGTCTGTTTATTTTAAGAATGTCGGCAAATTGTTCCACAAAAAGAAGGCTTTCAAAAGTTAGAGAAACGTTAGAATGAATGCATTACTCTTCGAATTTAGTATATTGATAAATAAGATAACTTTCTTAAAAAAATGTTTTCCTTAACTAGACCGTAGACTTATTGAGTAATGTGATACTTGGGCCAAAAACACCGCTTTGTCTGATCTTTTGTTGAAAATTCCGAAATCAGAAAGTCCCGAACCTTGCTAAAATTCCTGCATTAATGTTTAGATTTTCCGTCGAATATATATTGCCTACCTTTTTTAAAATTTTTGGTACACAACAATTTGTGGTACATTTTTTGGTAATATTCGCTATGAATTGTAAGTTATACAAGAGAAAATAATAAAATTCTTTCGAGATTATCCAACTTTTTTAGCATTGACATGTTAGGTGTCGTGGGAATTTTTTGAAAACCAAAAATCGAATGCTGATGTTTTAAGGTATTTCTCTATTTAACATGAATGCGATTTTTGAATAAAAATTCAAAACTTGGTTGTAGCACTTACAATGAGTATGTCATCATTTATGCACTTTATTCCAATTTCTCAACTTCAGAAATATACACAAAAACCGGTCTCGAAATAAGTTGCCTTTTCTTGGTTTCAATTAATGATGCTAATGAATGGAAAATGAAAGGAAAATGAGTTATATAAATAAATTAAATCAAGAGCACAGAGAAAAGGAATCAAAATTATCATATCATTATCATATTATATACATCGGATAGAAGATCACATTAAAGTAAAATCATCCATTTTATATTTAAGCGATCCAATCGCATGTTATCGTCCTATAATGGCTTCCCCTCTTCTTGGCTAAAGGCCAAGTATAAATAACTGTTTTGCTAACATATGTATTATTCCATGAACATAATCGCTCGTGCACTCATACGGTGCTATAGTCAATTACATTTTTATATTTATGGCTGTAAGGAGTATATATAGATTTCGAGAAGATTCTAAGGAGCAATAAATGAAAATATTTAATAAACTTGCAAGCATACTAAGCATTATACACTAACTAGCACGAATTAAGAGTGTGAAAATAAATTCGAATTTAACTACAAAAATGCTTACCAACTCTCTTAATCCTGTAAATGCCTTAAAAGGGCTATATGGAAGGTATTGTCATATAAATTCATGGGCTGTTGGAATAACTGTCTTATGTTTTCTGTTTGTTGTATAAATTCATGAGCTGTTGGAAGAACTGTCTTACGTTTCCTGATTTGTAAGGAGTATACCTCCAAAACCAAACATTACTTAGTCGTAACTACTTAAAAGAGCTCTGTGAGCGTGTTTACAGAGCTCTGCTATGCGACTTGGTAAGCGTTTTTGGCAGTTGAATTCGTATTTATCTTCACACCCTTACACTAATTTGTCGAGAAATTTTTGTAGCTCATTAGTCCAAAATATACATTCAGTACGTATTTCTTGTTTACCGTCCGCCAACAATATTGCTGCGTTGTTTATATGCCAAAGAAAACAATATTGAATTAAAATTTAGGAATGGAAACAATGGATAAGTCAATTACGTATAAGAAAGTACATATGCTTGCGTAAAAAATATTGTCTTTCCGTTTTGTAATGTATGCATAATATTTTGGTGAAATATACGGAAATACCGTTTATTCCTATGAAAATACAATAATACGAAAACATACCATCCAAAGAGAGAGAGAACAGAAGATACGTATTTCGTAGCTTAAAATTAAATTTATTCTTGATACATAACTAACTAACTTAAACAACCACCCACGTCATTATCGATTGTACAAATACGAGATGACTCTACATGAATCCGATTAACCCTTTGCGAAGGAACGGAATTTTATAATAACGCAAAAGAAAAAAAGCAATTACTTTTACCATTCGGCCTACTTTAGGTGTTCAATTGTTCCTGTAAAGTTTTTTTAAGAGTTTGTTTTCTTTAATTTATTGCATAATGTTAATACGTGCATATTTTCTTTTACACTTCATTTAGTCATCGCTTTAAATGAACATGTAACTGAATGAATTCTGCGGAGTAAGTGCTAACTACTCATACATACACAATAATGTTACCAACAATTTAACGTATTATCATCTCAATATACCCTATACCACTTGTGGTACAGGGTGTACTAAGTTAGCGCGAACGTATGTAACGGGCAGAAGGGCTTAAGATAGACGCACTTTTTATTATATCGATCAATTCAAATTATGACTCTGAGCCCGTCTGTCCGTCTGGTGTCTGCCCATGTAAATTTGTGTTCAAGCTATAGGTCGGAAAATTTGAGATATTTTCATGAAATTTGGTACAATGACGTGTTCTGACCAATGTACGAAAGCTATTATTGCGTTTTAAGGCGGAAAATTCTACGTTTTACACAATAATTAACTGTGCTGAATTTCGAACAAACACGTATCTCAATTATTGAACATCTCGTGCATAACCATTCTTGCGGAAAGCAAGCCTTTATTTGTAAAGGCGTATTATTTTTAATATACATTTCTATAATGGTAAGTTCATATAAAATCAGGGTGTAATTTTTGTGTTCTACGGCAAAAATAAGAACTGTGTCAAACAATGTGATACAGCGTATTAAAAAAGCGGCCTAGCTCGAGCGTTAAGTTTTCACTTGTCCTTTTTTGTGGTTAATCTTTGTAAAACGCCTCTTTACGCAGAGTGAATTTACGTTCGTACCTCGAAAACTTTGACATATTAAATTGGTCAATTCTTTTAGTATATTCCGATTATATTTAATGGTATTCGTTTTCCTATCATTCGTCATTTATCTATTTGTCAAAGTGTTTTCGAATTTCCATCTAAAAACTAACACCCAAGATTGAAATTCCGAAGCAAGTGGAATGCATTGTGAAATTTTACGCGGATTTGATATTATGCATAAATATATTATAATTCGTCTATGTTAATTGTTATGTAAGCGCAACAAAAGGTTATACTAACTTTTGTTTATTTATCCATATTAAATTATCTATATTATTGTTACAATGCTAAATCCTCTTCCATTGCCTTTTTTGGCACTTTAATGGTTTACTATGCTTAATTATAGAAATGAACAAAATTAAAAAGCTATCCTTTTTTATATTACTTCTTGACCATCGCAATAGCAATCGCAACAGCTGGTAAGATGTATAGCTATGACTGAACCGAGCTACAGTCTCAAACCGATTAAATACATTTACCCCTCGCGATTATGATATTTTTGGGATGTTAAAACTGTGGTAGATAAACTAGTGCACTTTCAATCAACAGATGATGAAAACAACTTCAAAAATCGCAACGATAATCATTCGCGCGTTGATTTTCGGCACACATACTAAATATATGCAGTAATATCTTATCAATAAAATAAAATATTGCATAATTTGACACCCTCATCTCATGCATATGAAGCCAGTTATTTATTTGTAATGTGCCGACCAAATCTGAAGGTAACATATTAAAATGCAATCAATCCGCAATGACAGCATCATCATCATGAGAAATGACAAAATTAAATGTGCACTTAATCCAATTAAACGCAATCATAGAACCGTACGCAGATACCGTACCATATGTGCGCACTTAATCTGGAAACTACGGATAAACGTGCGTGCAAAATGTCATGATCTGGTGGTCAGCACCATTTCATTTTTTTCTTGTGGGTAGCATTATTAGTTTTATCGGTTACATAAACAGAACTCCAACCTTCGAATAATTTATCCATTTTGAAAATCAGCCCAAAACGGTTCCCAATAATAATAGAAAACGTTATCATTATAAACTAACCGAAAAATGACATGACATTTTTGCCTGATGTTAATGACATTTGAGCCGTTATCAAAAAATTGATGTTTGTCAGCCTATGTACGCGTATATTTAAAGCAAACGTTCCTTTGAATTCTGTGTTCTTTTGAGCACAGTCGTATATAATTTTGTATTACTAATATGCTTTAACTCACCATCTTCGTTTTAGCTACATAAAAGTAAATTAACATCTTAAAATCTAAATTTTATTTTAAAAGTGTGATCGCCTATAAAGCAAATCTACCGAAAGAACTTATGTGCGAAATGAACAACTAATTAACTATGCTACTATTCGAAGACAAACACACGTTTTGCGTGGCGCCACTATCAATTTAATTGTATGTGTGTATATAAATATATATTTATACTATAGAGTCAAATTAATTTAATAAACAAACTTAATTTTACTTTGATCAAGTTAATGCAAAAAATCACCTAAATTTATTCCACAGTCAACAGAAAGGATTAATTTATTCTTTGTGTAGTTGTTAACTATTTTGTGTCTTAAATTTATGCATTTATGCAAAAAAAAAAATCGCGTTGGAGACTTAGAGTAGAATAGGATAACAAAGACAGCCGGATTATATTCTACTTTAGGAGACTGCAAAGAAAACGGAGAACACACCTCATTTGAAAGCATTTGTCATAATTTGGTCGCGATTTATCGCCAATTTTGGCACTTATGACCGAAGACTAGATCTACAGTACATACTAGTATTCCTAACCAGAGTGTGATTTTGAGTCGGTTTAGCACGTAATCGAAGATGTTAGTTTATTAATACATTAATACAAAGCTGGAATTTACAGTCAAAAACCAATTTCGGAAATAAATAAAGTCCAAAATGCCCTAAATGTGGTGATTGATGTTATGCACTGATTTCAGATGAAGATTACCGCCTGGTGGGACGATACTTTCTTGTTTGCTCTTTTCATTAAATGTGTTATAGCTTTCATTTTAGCACCAAAAAAGCATGAATTTCAGCTTTAAAATTATGAATACTGCGTATCTATCAGATGAGTTATTCTAAGACTTTTTACAACCTTCCTCATACCATTTAGTGTCTCGTAAGGCAAAGTTTTAAAAAAAATTGTATAAATATTTATGTCGCTCTGCTATGTTATATGTACCAGCAACTAGCTTGATTTCAACGCCCCAATTGGTTTTTTTATTATTTTCTAAAAATATTGTAGTTAAAAAAAGGCTTAAACTTGACCAAAAAAACGAGACCACTTTAAAATAACTTTCTGCGTAAACGTGCCTAATATAAACATGCTGCCATGCCCACATGTACCATCACATAGCCAAAAGACCTAGTGAAAAATTTGCCAAACAAAAAAAAAATGAATGAGCAGAGCCATTTTTGAGAGAATAGTAAAGCGGCCGCTGAAAACTTATTTTTTCCCATCTTTTCCCACCGAAAGAATCATTCGTCTATTAGGGCTAAATAGTTAAGCATTCAGTTTGTAAAAGAAATTAATGCAGGGAGGACAACAGCGTATCCAGTTCAGAACCCCTAACATTTGCAGGACAGATTTTGCAAAGTACGGCCGAATGTTATCATGGTTAAAAACCACATGTTTATGTTTTGGCATTTTTTTATGAGAATTTTCCTTTAATGATGAGCGCAACTGCATCAGCGCCTTAATTAAGTCACATGTTCTTTCGTAACAGTACCGTTATGGTGGTGTGTATAATGAATACATTGTCCTAAAAGAGGGTGCCAGAGATATTCGCGTATAGCGCCAACATTAATGTTTTCTCTGGCGTGCAGAATATCTTTTGGAGCTTGCGCTACCCACAGCAAATGCCTTCAAATAAAACTGAAAAGCAGCGCTTCCTATATATGGCACTGAACGTGAGTTACTCAAAGCTATCAAAAATTATATTTTATGTAGTCCAAAGAAAATGTCTCAGATATTCCTTTCATACGTAGAACTCAATGTTTGATAGCTATTATACTGTTATGTCATCTTTAAGGAAAACGGGTAACGAGTTGCTTGTACATGTGGCAGAAGTCCTTAGTAACGGCATGTCTCTAGACGACATCGGATTAATACAACGTTCGTGGCAATAATCGAAGTTGCCGTAAAAATACAAAAATATCATGTCGAAAAATTTGCTTAGGTAAAATGAGTAGACAGCATATGCGCAAAAATTGTTTAAGTGTTGCCGTGTTTTGCAAACTTTACCACAGATGGAAAATAGTGACACATAATTAAACCGTTTGTACAAGCTAGAAGAATATTCGTTTTTGATGATGTTCACAATTTAATGAAATATTATATTAATACCATTAATCTAACGGGTCGAAAAGTTTCTTATTGTTTTGTTTTTGATTTTTTGGGAAATATTGTGAATAATAAATGCGGAGAATACACTGAAAATAATGCACACTAATTTTTCTGTATTCAAGACAGCTTTATCGTGTTATGCTAAAATGTAATTGCGATACGTATTTGTGTACGTCAGTTCGTAAGGGTGTGAAGTTATTTTTAAATATAACTAGACCCAAATGAAAAATTTTTGTACAGAGCCCCGTTAAGCCGTTAACAGAATTATGATAACCGAAGTCTCGAAGGGACTAAGTCAAAATATAGTAAAAATAGAACTTTTCCAGAGTTTTTTTACGATATATTATAGACAAAACATGTCTTACGTAAAATAATTAATATTTGAAAAGAAAAAATTTATACACTATGTCATAAATGAGGTTGATAAAGCGAAAGTTCGAACTTCGCGCAATTAATGTTTGCACTAACGAACAAAATGAAATGAAGTTATGGCGCCATTTACCTTCCCGGATTCGTTTTACATTAGCCTGAGTTGAAACGTCGATCGCATCCGAATATGAAACATTGAATTTTCTATGACTTTTTTTCATTTTTTGAAGATTCATACATCTATAATGAAAACTAAATAGAAAAAAAAAGAGATGCAATTGAAATATCTTCAAAGAAATATCTATTAAATCCAAAATATTTACGGAAAACTATTTAATAATCCAAAAAAAATGTCTGAAAAGTGTAAGCATGAATTGTATATAAACACCGGCTTGAAAAAAGAGGTATACAACATTTTACTAAATTGAGACTAAGTTTTCATTTCTCTTTTCCACTATTCTCTTCTGTTAGGTATTCTGCTATAGAACGTAATGGACCAAAGTAAACTGGTTGTCGTTCTAATTGGCAAATGAGCTTGATTAACTTTATTGTGCTTGCTTGTTATGCTTATGTTGTCTTCTTTTTTCTTTAATGTAAGCAAAAAACTCGTTTTTTGTTTACAGCAATCGCCAGAAGATATACTTACTCTGTCATTAAAAACGTAACAAAGATAGGTAGGTGTAGAGGTTTGTCTCAGGAATTTCTTGAATAGCATCAGTAATAACATTAATTGCGAGAGTCAGTTAGGCAGTTAGGAGTTAGAAAGGCTTAGATTGCATCAAAAACTCATCTGCAAATGATATAACTTATAATCTCAAAACTAGTATCGATTAAAAATTGCATAAAAACATTGTCCATGTGACCTTTTTAAAAATCGCACTATCTTCGTATAATTTTAAACAAAAATGAATATTTAACAATGTATAAATTTTACAACAATCTAAGTTATTCTTTTGGCACCAAAGAAGTCAATGAGGCAGATCAAATGTGCTCGTTCTTCGAATGTATATTGATACAAAAATTCGTTTCAAACCGAATTTTTGCAGTATTTTACATTAATTAATATAAATAATTTTTAATTGCAAACACGTCTGATTATAACTTAATTAACCACTAATTGAATTAAAAAACATTTAAATGAAAGGAACATAGTAATTGAACTTACTTCCTTTCATACATTCACTGTAAACCTCCTGTGTGTGTGTATGTGTGTGTGTATACTTGCTAACGTGGAATAAGTGTCAACTTTCTTTCTGAAACTCATGGGTTTTTTTAACCACATTAACTTTTTTATTTTTTTGCAAAGTTTCACATTTTTAGAGAATTTAATTTTATATATCAAATGTTTTGTCGATCGCATGGACGCTTTTCATTTTTATTATGTGTTCCAAAAATTAACTCTTTTGTTCAAACTTTCAATGTCTTTCTACAATTTCTGCTTCATATGGATTTTTTCTCGATTTCATTCTTCTCACTCGCAAATATAAGTACACGTTACCAAGTCTCTCATTTATTTATTTTTTCTTTTTTTTTTTGATATTGGTATTTATTTATTTATTTATGTTTGGATTTTGCGCTTTCAATGAAATATTTTTTTCTTTCTACTCTCAGTAAAAATTTGTTAGAAAAAGATTTTATTTATGTGTGTGATATTCTTTTTAATTTTTTCTTCAATAATTATTTTCAATTTTGCATAAATACACATATATCCGAATACTTGTTATTTTTACATTCACCCCGAAAATACCGTTACACATCTTCAAATTAATAAATATACCGTCAATATTCGCTCATCGTTCATTCGTTACTTTACTATTTCTTGCGATTTCTTGAAATAATGTAAACTTAGCTCATCAGACTCATCAAACTTATTTGCTTGCAGTTAAGGTGACCACCTGCTCATTTTTCATATATTTATATATTTTTAGTGTACAATATTAAATGTAATATTAACAATATTAAAATGATTTATTATTGAATATGGAAGAAAAAAATTATTTTTAAATTTTACATATAGCATTCCAAATTTATAAATGTTTTTCTGGCCACCTTAATTTACTGCAGTTAAAAATAATGTGAGCATTCTTACATTGTTACGTTCCGTCTGCATAAGCAACCAAAACAAAATCGGGAGCTTGCATAGGCAATAAGTTATGTTTATTAATAATTTCTTCTTTAATAATTTATTATAGAAAAGAATACACATTAAAAGATTGTAAAATTAATCGTTTTATTATATTAGTTCTTATATTTGGATTTTCAATAATATTAATTAAAATTTTGTTAGGATCGCAGTATTAGCCTATTCTATTCAATTAGTTTTTTATATAAATTTTTTTTCTTCAAATTATTTAAGAGATGAGAGATTAAGGACAGTTAATATTAAAAAAAATAAGAAGAATAGAAGAATACCAGGAAGGCGGGAATTATTGTAGGGAAGAGAGTTAATTGAATAATTTTTACTAACCCTACGATATTAACGTTACAATTTAAAATTATTAACCTGATTCATTTGTATTATTGAAAGTTTGATATTATTGCTAAATGTTTTTTTTTTTTAAATGTATGTTTAATTATTAAAAATTGTGTAAATGTGTATATAAAAATACCTTAAAAAATTGTAGTAATAAAAATTTTTGTAATTTTCAAAAAAAAAACGGAAATTTAAAATTTAAAAAATTTTTTATTTCCATTATGTTTTTGAATTTGTTGAAAATAAAATTCTATTTCTGAGAGAAACATTTATTTTCCTGCATATTTCTTATAGAGATTCAAAAAAAAATGAAAAATGATCCGTTCCTTGCTCCAAATTTCTGTTATCGCATTGCATTTAAACGTAGAAAAAAATCTAGAAAACGTTTTTGTTAAAAAGTGGTTTGTCTCTCTCCACTCTCTCGATGTTTCTTTCTCCCTTTTCAAGCAAGGCGAAAACGAATAACACAATCTTTTATAATAAGACGCCAGCAATAGGCTAATATTGGCAAGCAACCATTTCAAAGGCAAGCAAAATTTAACAATAAACGTCAAAGCATCAACTGTTTACCAGTATTTGCAAGCGTGACTTTTCCTTGGTATAGAGAAACAAGTAGTAAAATTGGGAGAAAGTTATTCAAACCCAAGTTGCCAATAACATTTAAAATTATAATATCATATGATATGTAGTTAAAAGATTTACACGAATACTGTTTCTTAAAGAAAACAAGTGTTAGATATATTTTGAAAAAATTTTATTTTGCTATATATTTAAAAATGATAGAATATAAGTATACGTGTGAAAAATATAAGAAATATGCATAGTATAATTTTAAGCAAAGATGTCTACAGATTGTAGCTATTGCTACAAAAAAGTAACGCAAGACAATTACATCGAGAAAGTGCATGTTTTTCCAAAAATTCCTCAAATATACAAGATTGGTACACGCGTGAAAGCGGCATAGAAATATACTGAAATTGTTGTTATACAGCTTTTGTATTCATTTTAGTAAAAGATTTAATGAATAAATTTAGTTAACAAATTTGTACATTGCAACTTACAGTATACAATGCTTCTGCTGACCAATTTAAATGTTAGTTAAAATTTTCATAGATACGATATTCCTAACAAAAGTGACCAAAGTCTCTTTGCTACAACATTACAGGCCATTATATTAATTTGCATGTGGCAGAAACTTTCCATTCTCTATGAGAAAAGGATTCATCTGCAAATGATGTAAACAAAATAAGTGGGTCTGCATACGTTGTTCACAAAAATGTAATTTTTGCGAATGCAACTCTGTGCAGAACTAAATCAAGTTGTAATACCAACATAACAGTGATAAAAACTGAGCGAATTCCAACTTCGCGAAAGGGCGAATTGGAAAAGACGAATAGAAAAAATTTTATTGAACGTTTAAATTTGTGTTAGCAGAAAAACGGCAAAAGAAGGAGGAAAAAATTTTCGATCGCATAACGAAACGTAAAGGGTTTGTTAGCATTTTTACCCAGATACAAAGTAGAGAATTTGTAGGAACTTAAAAAGATACAATTTCGTAAAACTAACGTGCGGCAATAAAAATATTAAAATGAATGAAGAATACGAGGCCATTGTTTTGGGCACTGGTTTAAAAGAGTGCATCTTGAGTGGTATGCTTTCAGTATCGGGCAAGAAAGTTCTTCATATTGATCGTAACAAGTATTATGGTGGTGAATCGGCCTCAATTACACCGTTGGAAGAATTGTTTCAACGCTATAATGTCGAGATTCATGGTGACAAATATGGGCGCGGCCGTGACTGGAACGTGGATCTCATTCCCAAATTTCTAATGGCAAACGGACAGCTGGTGAAATTGCTAATACACACGGGCGTGACCCGGTACCTCGAGTTTAAGTCAATCGAGGGTAGTTATGTGTACAAGGGCGGAAAAATTGCCAAAGTACCGGTTGACCAAAAAGAAGCTTTGGCATCTGATCTTATGGGTAAGTTTCATCAAATGCAGTGCCTGCCTTTGATAGTGGTAATTTCTTTGCGAAATGTAGACTTTCTATTCTTTGCATATTCAATTCTAAGTTTTTTTGTTTCCATCATTTTAGTTTTGTGACACGTATTTATTGCAAAGAGAAAAGAAAAAGAGAATAGCAAAAGTTTAGATGTGTGCCTTTGTAATTTTTGTAAGACTTATAGTGGAAGAGCACAATTTTTTTCTGTTGTTTCAAATTTCGTTTTTTACTACAATCATTTAACTTTTTTTTTTCGTTAGTTTGATAGAAAATTTTAAACTACTTACTGGATATTATATAGTTTGTTTATATTGTAAACGGAACGGATTGTTTTTTGTGAACAACGGCATAGAACGGAGCACAAAACCAACTTTCAGAGTTGGAGCTCCGTGTAAAAAGTGGGTGCATTTAGTAAAGAGCTTGAAGAATGTTCAATCATTCTATACTCACTGAAGAACTGGCGTATATATATATTTTGTCAAAAGTTTTGCGAATAGGATGGGTGAAGCTTCAGAAACTACAGAACGTATATACTTGAGCATACAACTCTCGATCGGTTTAAACATATCCACCATTTGTCTTAAGCTGAACGTTGGAAGTTCCTGTACGAAGTACAAACTAAACTGAGAACATCTTCGTTTTCCAAAGAAAAGTGTGGATTTTCCCTCATTATAAGATGATAAGAATTTATACTTACATTCTGTAAATGATCCTCCAGCGTGTGCAATAAAATTTAAAAATTTTGTCACGTGTGCCCAAAATTATGAAGTATCAAATTTCCATTTCTTAATAAACCGTTTGTTGCCCATCTTCCCATTTGTCTATGGTAAACGCCCTCCTAGTCGCAAAAATAAAGACATGTGAGTCAAATTCGGCAGGAGCATTGAAGGTTGTGCTACGCTGATTGTTACTCAAAGTTAGTCAAATCAGTCAAAGAAAAACGTAAAGTGAGAACACCATCGTTGCCAAAAGCAAAAAACAATTACATGTTCCTCTTATTACTTATAAACTGCAACAATAAATATTTGTATATTCTATTTTAATACAAGGGTGCTAGATATAAAAGTTTTTCGACAACAATCGAATACCATTTTCTTCCTTGTTATCAAATATGAACGTTCTCCTAATAATAATTCTTTTCTTCATATATAACCTTAGCTAAAAATTAATATTAATAATACAAACATAAATTAAACGTGCTTGCATACAAAGCAGGGCAATAACATATCTTTTAATTCATTATAATGCCAAGCTACTACTAATGCCACATCTTTGTTAAGTGAAACCATAAAAGACGATAATGTTGACTTAATCGTTTGTAGTATGTAGCATAGATCCCCACAACAAACCTCGCAGGGTTTTAAAACACTTATCTGGCCAATGAATTCTTTATAACTTTACTTCACTAGAATTTTAATGACATCATTTTTCGGTCATTACAATTGTTATTGGCTCTTGTTTACAAGTAACATATATTTTTGCAGTATCTTTTATTGCGATCTAAGAGATGTTTGCTAATTATGAGGTAAGTTGTTGAAATGAAAGAAATTGCAGATGTAAATTGAGAAGCAAAACTTTCTCATCAGGCAATAAAACGTACAAAATCAATGCATTTGATAAGACATTCTGAATCCTTAATTTTTCTAGCTTACAATTTGAGAGAACATGTACTTTACAAAAAAATTTGAATTTCGTTCTGGTTATATTGAAAGTATATAAAATATTTTGTGAGGCAGTGAAAAATTTCGCAGACTGCTTCATTACGACTATCTGCCAATATACCTCCTTCAACTTTCAATTCAATTTTGGGAGGTATTGGATAGATTGTAAAGTAAAAACACATATCAATGACTTAAATTCTATTGGCATTGATTTGGTAACTCAAAATCCAAAACTTTCTTTAGAAGACCGGAGCTTCAAATGGATTTTTTTTCGCTGTCACTGGCAACGACAGCTTTTTTACATGGCAATTCTAATCCTTATTAATTGTCCAGACCAATTCCGGGAATCCACTAAATGACAAAAAAATTAGTGTAATATGTTGTTCCATTAAATGTCTCTTACGTGGTTTTAGTTATTTATCCTGCTTCTTTTGAAATTAAGCTCGCATCTCTGATATTTAGGATAGCACAGATTATAAGGAGATCTATTTACGAATTATACTCAGGAACTTTTTTTACAATGCTTCTTGTCTTGTCTGTCCGAATATTACGATTTAACTCTCTTGACTCTGGTAGCACTGCTTTCCGCAAATATTTTGTTTACATATCCCTCTATAATCAATTTACGAACATCTAACTTTATTGTGACATTTTTGTGTTCCGCTTTCTGCGTACTGTTGTCAATGTTTTCGTCAGTTTTCTGTTGTTTCGGAAGGTAAAGCGTAATGAGTGTGTATTTGATTTTACTATTTAAGGAAATTTGGGTTTTTAGAAAATTTGGCAGTGCAGACTCATTTTGTGAAATTCGGGATTTTCCTAACAGTATATTAACGAATTTTTCGTCCTTTCTGCCATTAAATACCTATGTAATTATACCGATCACTATTTGTAGTGCAGGGTATATCAAGGTTGGGCGAACGTATGTAAATCCCAGAAGAGCTTAAGATAGACCCACCATTTATTATACCGGTCGATTCAGAATCATTTTCTAAATTGATGAAAGTGCGTTCGTCCATGTAAACTTTTGTTCATTCGTTATTAAAATTGATTCGTATCCGTACACTTTTCGATCACTCTCGTATAACACCTTAGTTTGAAAGGTCGTTGTGCGGAAAAAATTTGAAATTTTTAAATTTTCTCGACAAAAGTTGCTGAGTAATAGCATTTCTAAATTGCTATGAAAAACTCAGTTCGACAGGAAAAGTTTTTTGAACCTATTCTCATTCCTGCGAAAACTGAAAAAAGGTCTAATTTTCAATATTTCGTGGTGAAAATTGAATCATAATAATAAATTGATAAAGAAATGAAGCTTACAGGATTTGGATGACGTATCTATCTGTATCGATCTATATTTTGTATATAAAGATTCTCAGCAAATGTAAACTTTTACGTGGTAAATGTTTTGCGACTAAATTTTTTCATGACAATAATTTGAACTAAAAATGAAATGGATTAAATTTACACCACATATAAAATTTCTCTCGAACGATAAGCCCTTCACAAGATGGCTTAATTTTTAAAATTATATCATGAAAATTGGACCAGTTGGCCCGACTTCATCAAACTTTTTACTTTTGGGGTTTTGCGCTGCAGTACCTGAATCTATATTGTTTTTTATCTAGACACATATGGTAAAGCTCACCTCAACGTAGCATCTGGAAAAGAAAAACTGATTTGTTGGAAACGACTTCGTACCTGTGGTCTAGATAAAAGTTCATTTTACAATATACTTCGCAGTGTTAAAATACTTCTTACCGTATTACCGGAACCCTTTTTTTAATGCAATTCTCTTATTCAAAGCATTTTTTCACATTAATTTTTTTAATATTATAACATATTCTTTTTTTTTATTTACTTATTTATTTACACATGAAACTCAATAAAAGTAAATTAACAGCCGAATTCAATTGGCTCTTAAAAGTAAATGTTTTATTAATTATTATTAAACACTAATCCAAAGTACATAATAAGTGACGAAGGAAAAAAAATGATAATAGCTCATGCATAAATAAATAAGAAAGAAAAAGAGGATATACACAACTAGCACAGAGGCACATCCACAATTACCAGAGATACGAGTTGCAAGTGATCCTCTAAGCCAGTCCAAACGTGCAAGAGTTTGGCAAGCAATGACAGTAAACCACACCACTTAATTTTCGAATCACAGATGTTAAGATTGCAAGTTAGTTTAAATTCGACGTAGGCAAATCGTCCATATTAAGCATAGTTGTTTTGGTGGACTTTAAAAAGTCCGACATTGATATTAAGTAATAGACATCATTTAGGTTTCTACAAACAGATCCGAAAGAGTTAAACAGCTCATAATTATATTTACATTGGCTAAGCTTAATGAGGATAAAGTGCCTAGAGAAGCGATTAGGGACATTAAAGCAAATGTATAACATTTTTGTAATGTAAGGATCCTTAAGCTGTTCGGATTACGTCTTAATGAAACCAAAAGCGGACCTAGCTTTACTTAAAGAGAGCTCAATGTGAAAAATAAAACGTATCGAATAGAATCGCTAAATCGATGAACGAATCTACGTTTTCCAACTTGTGTGAATCTATGAAATACGCAGTATTCAATGCCTTCCTTCTTGAGAAAGGAAGGTTCTTGCTAACATTTAAATTCATGAGATTTAACGAGCACCATGTAGCCAAATTATTTAAGTTAATATGAAGCGCTGATACGGTTGCGATTCCAAGGAAAAGGAAGAAAAGAGTTTAACATCGCTAGCGTACGTTAAGATCTGACTGCATCTAATCACTGAGGGGAGATCATTAGTGTATAAATTAAATAAAATGGTTCCTAAATGACTGTCGTGAGGGACGCCAGACTTCACGAGAAATTCATCCGAAGAGACGAAGTTGAACCGTCCGTGCGAGAGCCGCTAGAAAAAACCTTGAAAACGTGGAAAGCAAACACTAAGAGATTCGTGACAGTAGATCTTCCTTTCCGAAAGCCATGCTAGAATGAAGAATAAGATTTAATAGCAAAACCTGTATGCTGAGTAACAATCCACAATTTAAGCAAGACATTGAACTTGACGACGCCTCAACGTGATGTTTATTTCCACATTTATGTATTGGAATAAGGAAAAGACTCTTCCAACATGAAAGGAAAACACCTTATTTCAATTACTGATAAAAAATCATTGAAATGATACGACATAGCTCGACAGAGTATTATTTCAGTATACATATTGGAATCCCGTCAGGGTCAGGCGCGGAACTCTATTTGAGAGACCTCAAACCATGTAAAACGAACTTTTGTGAAATGACCAAGTTAGGAATTGAAATCGGGTGAGTTATCGGATACGGACAGTTAACACTTAAATCGGAATCAGCAGTTGAAAAATTTCGTCTGAAGCATTCAGCAAAGAGATTATATGTTTCAATGTCACCAGAGGACTCGCAGCGATTGAAAGAAACACCCGAGGGATATATGCAAATTTTTTGTTTGGAGTTGGCCAATTTGATCACTTTTTATCAACTGAAAGAATCTGCAACAACATTGGTTGTTGAGGTCATTAAATCTATGCCTTGATGCGGAATAGGCAAAATAGTTGTAAGCAGAACCACTTTTCACAAATTTTTTGGAAAGTTTGTTTTTCCAATTTTTTTAATATTCAATTGTCTAGTTAAACCATGGCAACTGCTTCATGGGCTGGGTTGTTTGATCGGAACGGACGCAGAAATAGCTAGGTTCAAGGACGAAAGTTTAGGAACGAAGACGGTAGGGTTTCAATATTTCTCGCAGAGAATTGAAGCATAATATGTGAAAGATGAGATTAAAGTAGTAAACTATTAGATTTGTTAAAGTCATAATATTTATTTAAGGAAGTTGGATTTGGCACGTTGGAGTAGCTAGACCTACTTGCTTGTAATAAAAGGTAATACCAACTGTTGGATACGATACTCATGTAAACTAAAAGGTGGATAGCGATTTACAATTATTTTTTTTTTTTTTTGCTGTATCAAGTTAGCAGCATTAGAAAAATTGTGAGATCTATTGCGAAATATGGCTCATCTTTAAAATGCTGTCGGATGTGAGGACGCAGTAAGAATTTTACTATCATTTTCATGTTTTTGAAAATTTTTAATAACACTGTTTAATCAAACAGTTACTGTCGCCAGTTTCTTAATATCGAGAATATGCGTATAACGCAGCTCCATCCTTAGGCTTTCGGTGTTTTCTCTTACCATCTATGAGTAAAGCATTTAATATATGGTTTTTTGTGTGTTAAGAATTTACAAGTGAGTGGTAGGAGTGCTATTAATGATGAATATTCCACAAAAAAAAAAAATGCTACGCTATGAAACATAACAAATTCTTTTATTAAAAATACATAAAATATTCACAACATAGTTCTTTTTAACTTTATGGAAGACTTCCGATACAATGTTAATAGAATATTTTGAAGACTTGTACAGTTGTTGAAGATATGGTTTACACTTTACGGCTAAAGGACTGTTCTATTTCTCTTTCGAAGGCATGTTTGAAAAACGTCGTTTTCGCAATTTCCTTATATACGTTCAAGACTTTAAGGAAGACGACCCCAAAACCTATAAAGATTTCGATCCCATAAGATCAAATATGCAAGCTCTTTATGATAAGTTCGGTTTGGATGCGAACACTCAGGATTTCACTGGCCATGCTTTGGCTTTGTTCCGTGATGATGATTACTTGAATGAGCCGGCTGTTAAGACTATACAACGTATTAAACTATATTCCGATTCTTTGGCACGTTATGGGAAATCACCCTATTTATACCCGATGTATGGTTTAGGGGAATTACCACAAGGATTTGCACGTCTTTCGGCCATCTATGGTGGTACCTATATGCTGGATAAGCCAATTGATGAGATCGTTTTAGGCGAAGGGGGCAAAGTGATAGGGGTACGTTCCGGCGAGGAGATTGCTAAATGCAAGCAGATCTATTGTGATCCTAGTTATGTACCCGACAAGGTAAATTGAAATTTGTTAATCGCTTAAAATTACTTTTGACATTATATTATGTTTTAGGTGCGAAAGAAGGGACAAGTTATACGTTGCATTTGTTTACTGGAGCATCCCATTGGAAACACTAAGGATGCTCTATCTACCCAGATTATCATTCCACAAAAGCAAGTCGGACGCAAATCCGATATTTATGTGTCTCTTGTAAGCTATGCTCATCAAGTGGCCGCCAAAGGCTGGTTCATCGGTATGGTTTCGACTACAGTCGAAACGGATCATCCAGAAAATGAAATCAAACCCGGTTTAGACTTACTCGAGCCCATTGCACAAAAATTCGTAACAATTTCTGATTATATGGAGCCTATTGATAGTGGTGTTGAATCTCAAATCTTTATCTCAGAATCGTATGATGCAACTACACATTTTGAGACCACATGCCTGGACGTCTTAGACATTTTTAAACGCGGTACTGGCGAAGATTTTGATTTCTCTAAAATCAAACATGAATTAGGCGATGAAGACCAGTAAATTATTGCTTATATAGAGGGTCACCCGAGGAATGAGATTTAAATAAACAAGAAACTCAAAACAGTAACATTTTTTCCTTTTCAATTCGCGCATATAAACACACACAGAAAGTCACATTCTTGCTTGGTGAATGAAAAATAATAAACATCAACAGCTTCAAAAAAATAAATAAAAACGGGATTCATGTGAAAAAATTAAAAACAAAAAGGTTTTTTTGTTACGGTAAAAATTTACATATAATTAAGAGATTTTACACGGTATTTAAATATAATGCAAAATTACTCAAATGGAATAAAACACGAAAAACCTTACATATATAATATTAAATTGTCCTCCAGTGGGAATATATTTCCACTCAAATTGTTTATATAAAAGAAAGATAAGTATCAAAATTTTGACAACCACTTCCACATTTATAATTTGTATGTGTACGTCTCTACAGTACTTTAAAATGGTCCTTATGAAGTTAGTGATGGCTCCTTTCCTTTTATTAATAATTTTCTGAAGGTAGAATAATTTATTCCTATTTCTCTGACTCATTCAACAGCTCTGTTATAATGCAAATCGAAGAAGTAAATCTTTATTGAGTACGACGCGAATAGTCATATTAGTTACGTTTTGCATTTTATAACTTTAAGGAATATGTAAGCCATTCAGGGGAACTCTAAATTTATGATCGCTCATGCCAATTTGTGCTTTCGATTTTTCTATATAAAATAGAAGGAAAAGCAGAGATGACTACTAATTAAATGCAATATTTGTACACTACCGTAAGTCTATTCATTTTTCCAAAACTTTTACAACGCCCAGTTTCCGAATTGATGAAAGTATTTTCACGCCACAGAAACCATATCAGCTTCGAATTGGGTACAAACACTAGCAGTTAGAAAATTGTCCAAATCAGTCAACGTTAACTGAAAATGCATCCCGTTTCAGAAGAAAAAAAGGTTGGGCTTTTTGCTCATTACCTACAAAACAACCATAGATACAGCAATAGAAAATTTGAGTGTATATTCCCTTGCCGACCACACAAAAACAAAATTACAATTTTTTTGGGTATTTTAAGATGAAATTGGGGGGTACAGGGGATCGGGTCGCAGCCGAGCATTATGTTCTTACTTTTTTAGTAACAAATTCGGTCTTCTAAAGAAGTCATGAACAAGGTACCAAAAGCAAAATATCCTTGTTTGGTATGAAATTAGAGATTTGCTTTGTGAATTGGCCAAATTTTATAAAATGACAATGAGAAGTCGTCAGTACTCCTACTGGTCAAATTCAATTTGATAAGTGCCCTTTAAGGAGTATGAAATTTGCTTTCGTTTAAAAGCGGTTTGTTCAGTTGTTATGAATAGAATAGAATAAATCAGGCGAAACAATAATTTTATTAAACAGACATAGGCATTCGAGAGCGAGAGAAAGTTCTCGTCATAGGTTCAACTCAAGGAAATTATAACTGCACGTAATATTAACCAGTACGGTGGATCCGGTGCCGTGTTACGTAGATAATCCGTGTAGACTCTTCAGGTCATAACGACTTACCTATACCTGCATCAATCAGCCTATATACGGCCATCTCAACTAACGTAGCACTGGTGCCATTCCATTCTAGCGTGGGATATATGGCGCCGTTAATTGTTGACCCATTTGAGCATTTTCAGTTTCGCTCCTGTTTGTCACTAAAGAGTGGTGTTGGATCATTTGAATGCCCCAAAGGTTTTATCTTTGCTTTACAGAACGCAAACGCATGCAAATCTAGATTTGCCATCAATAATAGTAAATATATATTTTGTACCAACAATTGACGTTGTAGGCATAGGTCCACAGACATCCTTATGAACTCTTTCGGGTGATTCGTTTCCTTGTCTTGCTGGACTGCTAAATGGTCTCTGAAGACATTTGCTTCCTAAGCGAATCAACTGTTTGTGTGAAAGTTCCTTTAAATGACCACTGTTTAGGTGACCGTAACGATTGTGTTATTTCAACGTTTCATCAACATATGCAAAAAGTTTATTGTCTACATTGACACTTAATTTAACACTCGAAAGTTACTTATCATTTTTGTTTTTAATACCTGTGCTATCTCGATAATCGTTGGTTCCGCTTCTTGCATAGTATTTGTTTTTGTAACTCTTATCTTGAACCATGAACACTTGTTTATTAGTGCTTGACTCACTTGGCCTTGATGTGCATATGTCGCTACGTCCTTCTTATTTAACTAACTCAGTTTTTATGGCGCTCAAACTAGGTAAATAGTCACATGATTTTAGTTCAATTACCAGCTTTCCAAACGACTTATGAGGCTGATTACAAGCAAAGTTATCAGCAACTCTTCTTGGAGCCTCACTACGATTTAGCAAAGCGTTACATTTGCAAACATATTGTTTAAATAAGCTTACTCTCCTTGCTTGTCCTACGGTCTACGGATCTCGTTAAGATTAGTGATGCTTCACTTACCGATTGAATATTTTATGTGAGCTATTTATATTGGGATAACAGTACAATAGTCGCCATATCTGTATTGGCTTTCGTTTTTCAACTTTTCATTTCTTCAAATTTTTCTGCGTTCCGCTTGGATAACTTATGGGACACAATTTCACATAAGTCTTGGTGGACCAACATGCGTTGCATTTGAAGTGCTCACGAATCGTAATTTCTTAACCAACTTTTGCAGTGTCAACTTCGAACTCATCTTTTGCTTCACTTTCGCTGCCATGCCTCGAGACTGGAATTACATATTATTTTGTTGGAAACACTCTTTTATTATAATCTGTCGGAAACATTTTTGTTTTTTGTGGGATGTATGATTGGGAGGATTTCTTTTATTAAGCCGAGCATATGAATCTGTCCTTGTTAATACATATAATATATGCAATTATAAATGTTAGCTGGTTTTTTCCCGTACATGATTTATAAAAAAAAAGTACCATGGGTTGAGAATAGAGAGAGAAGAGAGTTGCTTTTAATAAATGGGTTTGAAGGAACATGAACAAAAAGAATATGAAATTATTATTATTTTTAATTTAGCCAGAGAAATAAATTCTAAAACTAAAGTCTTAAAGCATAGACTTTTTAAGGCTATCGGCTTTTATAAAAAACTTTACCGCATTTGAGATTTGAATACGCGACCATTGAGTTGCGACCAGAAAAATTTATTATACGACAAAAAGGTTTATTATACGACCAAAAAAGTTTATTATACGACCAAAAAAATTTAATATACGACCAAAAAAGTTTATTATACGACCAGAAAAATTTAATATACGACCAGAAAAAGTTTATTATACGACCAAAAAAGTTTATTATACGACCAAAAAAGTTTATTATACGACCAAAAAAATTTAATATACGACCAAAAAAGTTTATTATACGACCAGAAAAATTTAATATACGACCAGAAAAATTTAATATACGACCAGAAAAAGTTTATTATACGACCAGAAAA